ATGTAGGAGGGACTTCTTTAAGAAGAAAAGACATGTATCAAAAACAGGAATAAAGAATGGTAATAACTACATTCCTATCAACAAGTACCGCAAATGGAAAAGAATTAAGTGCTCTAACCAAAAGACAGAGTGGCTGAATGGATAAGAAAACAAGACCCTACATATGCTGCCTACAAGAGACTCACTTCAGATTAAAAGACACACACAGACTAAAAGGAAGGGGATAAAAAAAGATATTGCTGGGGGGATAAAAAAAGGGGATAAAAAAAGATGGACCCAGAGGGTGTTGCACTGAATGAAATGGGTCAGATAAAGAAAGACAAATATTACATGATTTCATGTACACGTGGCATCTAAGGAACAAAATAAACAATAAGAAAAGTGGAAATAAACTCATAGATACAGAGAACATTTTGAGGGCTACTAGATGGGAGCGGGGTTGGGGGATGGCAAAAAAGGTAAAGGGATTATAAGGTACAAATGGATAGTTGCAGAATAGACATGGAGATGTAGAGTGTAGCATGGGGAAGATGGTTAATAATGTAATAAATATGTAAGGGGGAAGAGGGGTACTAGATTTAGTGGGGTGATTGCTTTGTGAGTTATATGGATCTCTGATCACTATGCTATACAACTGAAACTGGTATATTATTGTATGCCAACTATAACTGAAAAAAACTCATCGAATTGTACAATGTAAATACAAGCAACTAATTGTCTATTATATTTCAATAAAGCTGGGGAAGAAATTGAGGAAAAAAAAATTTACTCTTCAACGGCAACCCTATCCAGTGAGCACTGATATCCTCATTTTGCAGAGAATAACAAGCTATGAGGGACTAAGTAACTTGCTTAAGGTGATGGAGCTAGGAATTTGTAGAGTGAAAATTAGAATCCAAGTTGTCTGGGTCCAAAGCCTAGGGAGAGTGAGAAGAGAGAGGCTGGAGGCGGAGCCCCGGGGCCACACTAATATTTCCTGGTGGTGGAGGGGGCTGCTGAGTGGCAGGAGGGGGAAGAGTGAGAAAGAGGAAATGAGAGAGAGGTCTGGGCGTATGTGGGGAGGAGGGAGTGCCAGGAGCAGA